ACGGTGTTGGGAGCCATCACGGCCTAATATGAAATTTGGGTCATGACATCGGGATAATCGGGAAAATAGAAAAAGAGGTACTACTTCAATATCTGGTAGTAATTTAAATGACTCTACACATGTTTCCGAAACATCACCTGATAATAATATAGATTATGAATAATTACAGGAAGATTTCGGTATAGAAGATAATGAATTAGAAATTGAAGATGAGACACCACTTACAACTAGTAGTATTGGAGTTGGTAGCAGGGGTGGTGGTCGTGGCGGTAGTAATAGACCACCTGTGGCCCCGACTACTAATCGGAGAAAAAGAAGTAAGGTTTGGAATTTTTTTTGACGAAATAGAGAATTCTGATAGAGTTATATGCAAAATTTGTTAAGATGATTTTACACATAAGACTGGAGGAAGTTTAGGGGAGACCGGGACACTTAGTAGACATATGAGAATTACTCATCCTATAGAATAGGACTCTGATTTAGATGAAAATCAAGGAACTCTAAAAGCCTAGTACTGGAGGACTTATGAAATATGACAAGATGAAGGATCGTGAGGAGTTAGCAAAAATAATTTCTTTGGGTTGTCTACCTTTCTCTTTTGCTTCTTCGTCATATCTGACTATGTATATTCAAAGGATTTATAATCCCTTATTTAGAGGTATCCTTAGAAGTACTTGTAGATCTGATATCTTTGACTTCATAGACAATATCATCTATACACACGTTATTTGTTTGACCACCTTCCTTGTAGAGTTTCTCTAACTTCTGATATTGGCCATGCTGTAAATGGAAATGATTCTTTGACAATTACATGTCATTGGATAGATAATAATTATTGTATGCAAAAATGTATTATCGCTTTAAATATGACGAAGATCAAAGCCATACTGCTATTTTTATCAGTACTACTATTTGCGAAGTTGTTGAATTTTATAATATTAATAAAAAAGTATTGTGTATGTCTTTTGATAATGTTTCTAACAATAGTGCCGCTATTTCAATATTAAGACTACATTTGAAACCACCACTAGAGGAAATTTTTCATGCTAAGTGTGCATGCCATGTTTATAATTTAATTGTTAAAAATGGCCTTGATTTATTTTCGACTAATTAATCGTATTAGAAGAGCAGTTGGTGTTATTCAAGGAAATAATAGACAATCTAGAATTAGGGAATTTAAGAGTAAGTGTACGGAGCATAACCTTAATTCCAAATTCATGCCAGAGGAAATTGTTACTAGATGGAATTATACATACTTATTTTTAAAATGTTGCTACAAATATAGATTGTTGATAAATAAAGTTGCTAATGCCCATTGTACTGATCCAAACCGTATGTTAACAACTACTACTTGGGAGGCTATTAATGATGTTGTGAAATTATTACATAAATTTTATACAGCTACTATTGAGTTTTCTGGAGCATATTACCCTACTGTTATTATGGCTTTAGTACATATAGCTGAAATTTCTTTTGTACTTTCTGAATTTAAGAAGAAAGAAAAATATAAAGATGCTGTTGAAAAAATGCAAGCAAAATTCAAAAAATATTTCTTTCCAATTTCTTCTATCTACTTAATTGGTGATGTTCTAAATCCTTCTATTAAGATATCTAATTGTCACCAATAATCATGCTTTATATACTTATATGGAGATTGGTCCAACTGAAACCCCGGATATATATTGTTGTATGAACAAGCTAAATAATTATATACAACAATTATATAATTATTATGCAAATATAATTGATGATGATGCTATTAATGTAGGCAATGTTAATACCACTATGCGTTGTATTACTTATACTGCGTCTGCTACTATGAATGAAGATGAAGGCCTTGATGGTTATAATATTTGGGCTACATTTCCTTCCACTCAAACCAGTAGCACGAACATTGATGAACTTCAATTCTACTTGCAAAAGCAATCAGAGCCTCGCACTAAGAAATTTTCACCATTGGGATGGTGGCATGAGAATGAAAAGCAATTTCATGTTCTTTCTGCTATGGCTCGGGACGTGCTGAATGTGTTAATTTCAACTGTTGCATCAGAGAGTGCATTTAGTCAAGCAAGACAACAACTAGGAGACACCCGTCACTCATTGGGAAGCAATGCTTTGGAAGTTTTAGTATGTTTCAGAGATTGGATTAGATTGGAACGAGGAAATCAGGGACGTGAAGATGCTGATAAACCAGAAGACGAGGAACTTGGAGATATATTAACACATGGTCACGCATCTGAATTTAACACTCCAGAAGATGGCCAAGAAGTTCATATTGAATATGAAGAACTTACTAAGGCAATGCAAAACCTTTGAAGTCTGGATTTATAATTTCATATTAAATAATTAAACTTTGAATTTACTCTTTTTTCGTTAGTTTAGTTGTTGTTAAATGTAAATTTTAATTTGCCAGATTGAAATAAAAAAGCTACTCGCAAATTATAAGTGCAATTTTTTTCCATCTTCATTGCATTCTATTATCTTAAATTCTTAATGAAATATTCTACTTTATGGATTTTAAAGCCTTTGCATCCTTTATTCAAATGCTTTTTTTTATAAGATTGTTTTTTTTTTTGGTTTAATATTTTTATTTTATATTAATGAAAATTACGATAGTTATACAAAATAAAAAAAATAAAAAATTAAATAAACCCGACCCGGCCCCTTAGAACCAGAACCGTTCCGGTTTCATATTTAACCAGATGAGCCCGGACCCGTCAAACCCGGTATGAAAAAATCGGTAACCGGCCCGGATTGGTGACCGGTCACTTTTTTACTCGACCCGGCCCGGCCCGGCCCAGCCCTTTGACACCTTTATTATAAAGGGGTGAGATGATCTCTTTATATGGTTTGAACAATCCTCACCTCATGAAGTAGCTTTTGAGTTTGAGTCAGGCCTAAAGTCCATTTCTTTATCATAGTATTAGATTCAGGCCCATCCCAATTTGTTACTTACTTGGTGTTGGGTGGTGTTGAGTCCCACATTTCTTTTAAAGTGAATGGTCTTTTTATATGATCTTGAGCAATCATTATCATGAGCTAACTTTTGGAGTTGAGTTTATCCAATTGTATTTTATGAAGGTCGTCTTCATATTTCATCTAGTTTCTTCTCTCTCCCTTATCACTATTTGTTCAACAAAGATCATCATATTTCCTACTTCTTATTTTTTCTTTCTTAAAATAGTGGTGGTGTCGACCAATCGGGCGAACTTGCACGCACATTCACTTGCTATTGTCCAGTTGCAACCACTCTCTAATGACACACAAAAAAAAGCTGTTTAATTTGTTCTCATTCTCTTTATTCAGAAGGCACATTTTTTTTTATATCAAAGTTGAAAACCTCTTCCCTTCTAAATGTCGAACATTGATTCATGAGTTAAATGCTACAAAGGAGCATCAAATCCACTTTAATGTGTAAGGGTTCAAATAATTGTCCAAGGACTTGCTACTTTAAGACAAGTTTAAATGGGCCAAAGCTGCAAAAATATATTTAACATTATTATTATAGGAATGTTGAATGAATGAGTGCATATCAACAAAATCACGATATCGTTTTATTAAATAAAGCAAATGGATAAGTAAAGACGTTCTTCTGGAGTGAGAATCATTTTCTAGCAAGACTAAGGGTATCAATGTTGAGATGGCCGAGTTGGTCTAAGGCGCCAGATTAAGGTTCTGGTCCGAAAGGGCGTGGGTTCAAATCCCACTCTCAACAGTTTAATATATTTTTCAATCATCTTTTGCTTTTTTAGGAGACAGTAAAGGTAAGAGTTGAGATCTATAGCCTATAATAGGAGCTTGTTATCTTTTCTCACTGGTAAATAGGAAACACAAAATATGGTAGATTTATATTTCTCACCCTATGGAGAAGGAAAAACCAATTACAATAAATTTGTGTTGTATTTCTTTCAAGGAACAAAAAAAAAAATTGAACATGAGAAGAAAAACAGGCACAAGATTAACAGAGCTAAATTTTGCTTTAGAAAGGGTATTTTATTCTAATGAACAAACCAACTACCAAGATAGCAGATTGAGGCAAGTCTTCTGCATAAGATTTGGGGAATATATCGAGGAAGAGATCAAATATCTTGAGCAGTAGATGTGTACAAATTCTGTGTGTTTTGGGGAGTAAAGCAGCTGATATATACACCAAATCTTGATCAATAGCTGATATTGTTTCTATTTCCAATCCAAAAACGGTAACGACAGAGTTCGACGCCATCAAGATATATGGTGCCGAACTTGTTGGACTCAGGGACTATTTGGCATTTGGGCCCAAAAGGAAAGACTGATTAGCATAGTCTCTATTTATTTTACCACTTGTATTTGGGCCAAATGTAATTACGAAACTGGCCCACTTATGTTTAGTAGTTAGTCTTTCCAGACTTATGTTTTATGTGTATACTGGGTTGTATATATAGAAATAGGGTCAACCCGGGCTGAGACCATCGGGTTTATTTTCCAATTCAGTTCTAGAAGCATCCTTCTTCTCTCTTCTCTCTCACATGAACCCTATTACATTTTTTCAAAATCCCGATCGATTCCTCCATGTTTTCATGGTATCAGAGCAAGATTCTGGACCATCTCGTCCTCCTCTATCTTCTGATGTTAGCCTCTTCGAGTTTCGTTGAGGATCTCGATTTGTGTGGGTAGTGATTTAGAGTTTGTATACTATTTTCTTCGGCAGATTTCCTGCTCATTTTCAATCATCTGAGTATTTTCTGATCTTATGTTCCTCTTTCATCTACTTGTGGAGCTTTTATCTACAAATTCTTGTAGTCATCGTTAAGCTCGAGATTTCTAGGGTTTTACGACTTCACCCTATTTCATCAATTATGGTTGTTGTGTTGCTATGAAGAGTTGTTTGGTTGCCGTGCTACTGTGAGTTGTATTTTTGAAGGCCGCACTTCCTGTTGTGAAGAATCTGGTAACTCTGTATATTTCCCCTCTTTGCATGAGATTCATCGGATAAGTTTTCGTTGTTGAATGTTATAGTAGCTATGGTATCTACTGATTTTGATGTGAGTAGTGTATCTGGTACACTTGAGTTCATTCACAATCCTTCTAGTCCTTTGTTTGTACAGTCCTCAGATGTTCCAGGTGTTTCACTTGTACCAGTTCCTTTCTCTAGAATGAATTTTGGGGGTTGGAAAAGGAGTATAATTGTTTCTTTGTCTGCTAGGAACAAAATTGCATTTGTTGATGGTAGTTTGCCCAAACCTCCTGATAATTCCGTCGAGTCTAAGCAGTGGGACAGATGTAATAATACGGTAATTTCATGGTTAACAAGTTCTTTGTCTCCTGATATTGCGGATAGTGTCCAGTATTCTGAAACAGCTGAAGAAATATGGAGACAGTTAAATAAAAAATATGAGACAGTAAATGGAACTAAAGCCTTTCAACTTAAGAAAGAACTAGCTTCTACCTGTCAAGGTTCCCTAGATATTGCCTCATACTTTAACAAATTAAAGAAATTGTGGGATGAATTGAGAGTTGTTCTTAAAAATCATGGAAATCACTGTACTTGTGGTGCAAAGGAAGGTATTCTTAAAGAGGAAGAGGATAGACTTCATCAGTTTCTCATGGGGCTGAATGAAGTCATGTTAGTGTCAGGAGTAACTTGCTCATGATGCAACCACCTCCAACACTAGACAATGCATATAACATCCTTCTTCAAGATGAAAGGCAGTGGCAGATCAATTCCAGCTCTCAGTTTGGTCCTGATTCAGCTGCTTTCACTGCCAAAATGAATCTCAATCCCAACCGAATTATAGGCCTCCTGGTTCCAACACTCAGAGACAGTATGTCCAAAGAGTGAACTTTGATCAAGCCAATGGGAATCTATTCTACAGATATTGTAAGAAGAATGGGCACTCAATTGATAAGTGCTTCAAGCTTCATGGTTTCCCTCCTGATTTCAAATTCACCAAACGGAAGAAAATTGCAGCAAATGCGATTCTTGGAATAGATTTTTCTTCTGATGATTGTACAAATTCTTCTTCTTTTCCTGCTGCTGGAATTACCAATAATGATTCACAAGGTTCTTTAGTACCTGGTTTGACCAAGCAGCAATATTCTCAGCTAATGGCCCTTCTACAACATTCTCATGCCTCTGATTCTGCTCCATCTCAATTTGACCTCATGGCTTCTACCAATTTCGTTGGTAATGCTCTCATTTTCAAAGTAGTGACTTGTTCTCTAGCTTACATGTTGTTGACACCCAATTTTGTCCCTCCTTTCTTCCAAACTATTTGCTTAAGCTTCTAATATTATTAATAATATAAAAATCGGCATTCTGTTATTTTCAACACAACTTGACTTATTTGTTCTTATTATTATTATTATTAAACTATTACTACTATAATTATTTTTATAATTAGCATCGTTGTTACTACTACTACTACTACTACTACTATTTCTATTGCAAATAAAAATATTTTTTTTTCTTTTCCTTTATATAATGGATTAATTATATTTCTTTAATTATACATTTTCTTTAATTTTATGATAACATTTTACTTAACAATTAATGTAGGTTATTTAGCAATTTTTAGCTATCATAATTATTTCGAGGCGCATTAAATAGATTGATTATTAACATATTAATATTACATAGTAATATATAATATAGCAAATAAAATTAATTTAAATCTAAATAGAAGCCTAAAGAAATATGCAAGGAAGAAGGAAAATGTTCAGCACTGTAGGCCCAAATTTCGGACAAACTGGCCCACCTATTAAGCCTCCAAATCGGGCCCAATCTGAAATTACCCTATTTTGTATTCCAAAATATCTCAAATTAACTAGATTGAAGACTTTACCTAAATTCCATCACTATGACTGTTTCCCTTCCCACTTTCTCTTTCTATCGTCTCTTTCTTCTTCTGCAATGGCAGATTGCTTTGTCCTTTTTCTCTATTTTTTGACAAAGTTTTGACCTTTAAAAATTCGAGCTCAGAATTTTGCACGCCTATTTCAAGCAAAGGAGCGTCTGTTCTCCCCAACGTTTGGATTTAAACGTTCAAATTTTGAAGCTCTTTAACCCTAGAAGACCTCTATAAATACTAGCATCCTCAACAATTTTGGACAGCAGAGAGTCGCTGCTCTTACCTTCTATAAATCATTCTTTGCCTATTAATTATTATTCATCTCCAAAAAGCTTCATTCTTTTGACTCCCCTGCTGTTTCTATTGGGTATTTACCCTTGCACAAAATCTATTATCTTTATTTATTTTAGTCGAATCTGCCTTTGTCCGAGAGGAAGGATCGGGCTTGAAATCGGAGTTCGAAAGTACATCTAAGATTCGCGCCTCGGTTTGCTGCCCGCAAAAAGGTAAGTGATTTTCCTTTTGTCTTTCTTTTGATTCTGTAAATTTGAATCTGATTTTCCTTTCGTGATTTAGATGTCATAAAAGTAGGTATCAGCATACTTTAATTGACGATTTGATTCAAGTAGTTATTCTCTGTTTGTCTCTTTTGGTAGAAAGTATATTTAACAGTTGTATATAAAGGACCCTGGATGCGTTATTATACCTATTAGAAACATGTGTTAAGGGAAAATTTCTTTTCTTATTTGTTGTAGAAATCATGGCTTAACTCTTACATAGTTATATCTATAAGACCTACTTGTCTGTTCTGTGCTTAGGCATAAAGCATGTTTAGACTTACTTCTCTGGCTGTTTGGCTTAAGTAATTTAAAAATGAATATTTTGTGTTTAATCTCTGTTTCACTACTTCTGTATTAACAACATGATATAGAATGGTACAACAGGTAAAAGATTGGGTATATATGAAGCAAGCTCTTTGCAACTTGATAATACATCGTTTAAACTTACGAAGGAATTATCAAATATTCAGTTTGACGAAGGCAAAATTCTGTTTAATTTGACTCGTGAATATATATTTAATCTACCATCCTTCACTCACTTCAAGTATTTTGCAACAAAGAAAATGATAGCACTTCTGTTTTAGGAGTTAACTTTAAGTTTTGCTCACAAAATGTAGAAACCATGTCAATAGAACGTTACTGTTGCTCCACTCTTAAAATTTCTATTTCTTAACTTGTGTAAGGAGGGATATCATTGTAAGTTTCATGTCTGGAAAGAAAATTACACGAAGGTTAGATTTTAAGTCTTTTATAATACACTATATCGTAGGAATAAATTCGCTACAATGAGGAATTCTATGAACACTTGATTTGTCAACTTGTTGTTAGTTCCTTATTCTTGATTTGGCGGAATATACTTTTGTTTAAGGGAAGAAATGTTTGAATCTTTGTTAAACTCTAAAAAATTTCTCTAAGCCACTTTACGAAGCAACAACTTATGTTAGGATCATATTATTTGTGTCATTTTCTTATGAGCCTACATAGGTTTTGAGTAACTGGTCTTTTGAGTGCATGATAGATCAGAAGAACCAAACACCTGCTTTCATGTAGTAATTAGGGAATCATTGATCCATGTTCATTATTCAACTTGTTCCTTCTCAAAAGGGATGTCATTTAGAATATTTTAATCTTTAGCCTTCAAAATATAAAAGCATAAGCTCAGGTTCTAAAAATTTTGTATTTTGTTAGTAGATCTAAGACTGTTAATTCTCCTAATATAGTTTAATTCTCTTGTCATAAAAATTCTTTGTTGCAAGCTGATAGTGTATTTTGCCCTCTTGTCTCTTTCTAAGTTTCATGTCTTTTGAGAGTAAGACCCTTTTCTAATTATATTTCCTTACTTTATTTGCATATGCACTTGGAGCAAAATATGGAGTCTTAACGCAAGGCTCGCCACCATACCCCGAGCAGGGAGCCATCACATTACGTATCTTCCCTAAAATGTATTGGATAGCAAGAAAACAAGCGAAACGCTTGGGGGCGCCTATGGCGTCTTTCTTACTTTTTTTTTCTTTTTTCTTTTGCCATTCATTCTTGTCTAGTTTTTATGATCCTCGATTTATTTGTGTGTTTTGGTTTTATCGCAAGGATGGAATTTTATAACATTTGGAAGTCGCCGTTTAAGTTAAAATTAATCTGTAGAATTTGTCAAGTATGAATATCAAGTTAGTGTATTACAGCTTTTAGAATTACCTATCTTTTTATCAGTTTGGGAACTAAGACTTTCTTAGCCGAAATACATGTTGAAGAAGTATTTGTTCGAAAAACGTGAGTTTTCATCAAGTTTCTATAACTATTAATTGGATAAAATTGCAACTGATTTGCTTAAGTCATCCGAAATTTTATCCTCTAAGTGAATTGGCATAGTTAATATTTCTTCCGAAATACTACTAAGTGAAGTCAGTACCAATTTGCTCTTTTTTTAAAAAACAATTGAGTTTAAGAGTCTCTTTTAGTCCTAGTTTTCAATCAAAACCTTGTCTCGTTTCTTAAAGTTCTGAATCCATTTCTTAAAATAAAAAAAATAAATTAAAGTGATCATATTATTTTACAAATTCAAACTCCAAAATATTAGCATTTTTTGGGAATTATTTTAGTCAAGCTAATCCAATCATAATATTTTTGGACTTGTGCTCAGTTTTCTTGAGCTGAATCAGACTTTTAGAACTTCATATTTATGTTTTCTAATAATTAAGTCTTAAATTTAATTAACCTAAGTTCGGTCGGTTAACCGTAGTTAACGGAACATATGGGGTGCCTTAATAACCTTCCCTATAGGATTAATTAGAACCCTTACCCATAATCTTTAAGGTTAAGCAGACCGTAAAAACGGAGTTAACTTTAACTATTATCTAGCTAATATTGGTGTCCTAATTCACCGTTAAAATAATTAGGTGGCGACTCTCTTTAATTAATTAAACCTTCAGAATTACCAATATGTTATACTCTAGTTTAACCCGTGTTAAAATGGGGTATAACAGCATGGCGACTCTGCTGGGGATTTTAGGTTCTAAACCACACAACAAACTTAGGTTAATAATAAAAATTAATTTGTGTATTTTTTTATTGTTATGATGCTTATTTGAATTGGCGTTATATGATAAACTACATTTTATGAATTGTTCATCTATTATTATTGCTTTATATATATTGTCATTCCCATGTCACTTCCTCCACTTTTGGAAAATTCACACAAAGCACACACCTAGCGGTTACGCGGATTGCGGCCGTGCACTACTAAAAACACCTTTTAGGGGAAAGTTCGTGGGTAAGTCGTTCAGCGGTGCAGTCGACAGTCATGTGCTTTCCACTCTCAAGTTGTCCACTTGAGAGCAGACCAGTCTAGAAAACCCACTCTTAGTCAACCTAAGATAGAGCTAAACCAAAACTCATTTAAGAGCATGCATCATTTTAACCTTAGGTGGCTTAATACCCGAGGTGTATTAAATAGTTAACCTTACCTAAATGTCCAAGCGGGTTTTCAACCCCAAGTGACACTTATCATATTTATGTGCATTATTTGAAGGGTGAACATGCCAAATATGTAGATCATTTACTTTAAATTAATTAAATCCTAGTTAAAGGAGCATGACTATCTTTTTATAACATTTGTAAAGTTTTCAAATGACATAATCTTGCGGAACAACGAGAAGTTTACACATGACAAAATATCTTTTATTGTACTTTCATTCGATTTTCTTTACGTAAAAATAAATAAAATAGCTTAAGCGATTCATGTACTTCTTTTGCTTTTGAAAAATAGAATTACTTACTTAATTAATTATAATAAATATATTTTATTATACTTTTTTTTGTTTTTTTGATGAAAATACACTCTCTTATTTTTTTTAAAAAAAAGAAAGATGTTTAAGTAGTTATCTATTTATTTTCTTTTAAAAAAAATAAAATTATTAATTTATAGAAATTGAATGATACATAATGGCATATTTATCTTTCAAATACACGTTAGGCCTACCTCTGGCACTAAGAGGCCCCCTTGCATATTAGGACGCGCAATTATTTGTTATGCTTTGGAATTTGTCAGATGCTTTGCTTGCTTACTTGCTACGTCGCTTATTTGCTATGTTGCTTAATTGACTTTATTATTTTTACTAACATTTTGTTGTTTTTCAGAAGATGAAATATTGATTATCCAGCTTGCTTACTTTTTTATTTAAATATATACTCTATTTGTTTACATATTTTTTATTTTTATATCATCCTCTTGACTTATTAATAATAATAATAATAATAATCACCATCATTCTGCGCTTAGCGCTCTTTAACTACTCTAGAGCACCGTTTAGGTATTTACTTAGGCCCAAATTTCTTTTAGGTCCTCTCTAATTTTTAGAGTCTAATTAATAGTATATCTTTTTAG